CAAAGCCATATAATAAGGAGCTATCTTGCTCGCTCGGGACTGCCCGCCGTGTCCCGCAAGGAAAATTTATAAGTTAAACGAGACTTACCTGTAAGTTGAAGTTTGACTGTAATTCTATGAGATACTAGTCACGAACTAGGGAGTCACGTGAGATATGTGCGAGTAGCCCGAGCGATCAGTCTTCAAAGAAAGCGAGTGATTGCAAACAATAATGGGTGGGAAAATAAGTAGAAGAGTAAACTACAGAACCCAGTGAAGGGGTAGGGCACGTGACTCCCTAGTTCGTGACTGGTATCTCATAGAATCACAGTCAAACTTCAACTTACAGGTAAGTCTCGTTTAACTTATAAATTCTATTTCGACACCAGTCCTACTCACTAGTGAGTCACGTGAGACTTAAAAGCGTGCAATCATGAGCAGAAAAAATAAACAGAAACAGCTTTAATTGCCAAAATATTGGTGCAAACAGCTACAGTATATGGCTTGTCAGTCTATGGTACACAGAGGCACATAAAGGCAGTAAACAAAGAACTGATGCCTATCCGGGAAAATCTGCCTGTAGAAGGCAGTAAACAAACACAACAACATGTGATAATAGGTACTGGTTTACAGTGGAAAAAACTGTAATAATGCTATGTGTGGAGGTTTTCCAACAGGAGCTGTTCATAAGCTTTACTTGTTGGGACAATGGGTTTCTTGTAGAATTTTCCAAAGGTTGTGGCATTTGAGCAGCCTGCATTGTCCAGGATATATAGTAGACAAAGGAACCTTGCACACTGCAGCTTCAGATGTAGAAGCTGCCCTGGTGCTATGTCCTTTAAAGACCGAGGTATCTATTCCGGACTTTGCAAGAACCGTTTTTAGCCATCGAGAAATCGTGTCGGTTGACACCGGTTGGTAAGGCTTTTGGTAGCTCACTAGCAGCTGGTCACTCCCTTTCCTGAGCTCATTTGTCCTTTTATCATATTCAGATAGGCAAACAATAGGACACAAGCGGCTGTCTGGTGAGTAAGCTGTGAATGTTAATGTTGACACATGCTTGCCTGGTCGAGAGGTCTTCAAAAAGTTTGTGAATAGTGAACACACAGCTATCATGCTTCAATACAATACCTCTGACAGATAGCAAATGCAGTGTCTGACATCTCTGCCCAGACAACAATGCCAAAAGCATTGTAGTTTTGTAGGTGAGATCCTTCAAAGTTAAATCCTGAGGTGGGTGAAGGCTTGACAAGTATGTCAGCACAGTATTGACATCCCAAATGTTCTTGTATTTTGGTAAGGAAGGCTTGATTCAAACACCCCTTTGAGGAAACGACAGACCATGGGGTGGGCACCAAAGGAGGAAATGTTAGGCAATGTAACAATGGATGAGACAGCACTCCTTGCAGTGTTGATAGCACTGTATCCTATGCCAGAATCATATAGTTCAGCAAGAAAATTGATTACATCCTCTACAGAGGGACAAATGGGATCAATGCCAGTAGTAATGCACGCTCGTATGGGCCGTAACCAATCAGGAGCCGGGAAAGACAATAGGCTATTGTTTGGAGAACAATGGATTCTATTGTTCTCCAAATCCAATATGGCCGCCACAAATGTCAGCCAATTAGGAGCCGGTTCAAGAATTCAAGATGGCGGTGCCGACGAAAGTCGGCCAGGTTGGAAAACAGCCCACCAGCCTCGACGGAGGACTGGGATCGGTCTTACGGATTTCCATGGCGACACAAATCACGCCAGGGTCACGCAAAAAAATGTCATGCAACTTCAAACTCGATAATTACAGTGTCCTGTGGTCCTAAATGATAGAGGTCCGTCTGACAAGCGGCCATGATGAAGACTGAGAGACTTGTGTCCGAGGCACTTATATACCTTTCTATTCGTTCCAA